CAGTTTGGTTCCAAGCAGAAAGAGAGGGGAAGACAAACTATGAAATAAGCAAGAAGTCTCTTAAACTTGACATTGTCCAAATAAACAAAAGAGAGAAATTCAATTCAATTAACATTGACGGTGTTGTTTAGCAGGAGAGGAGATTTCCCATATTATGAAACATATATTTTTAAAATAAATAAATCTTTTAAAATTTCCAGTGAAGGGCAATATTTGTGGAGTAGAAATGCCAGTTCGAGGTAGTTTATACTTAATTTACTGACAGCCTTTAAAACCAGTCTGGAACAATAAAATCCCAACTTAATGTGATTTGCAATCTTACATACTTAGAGAGAATGGATGAGAATTTTTAAAAGGTGAAACTACTTTGAGTTTTTCATAGGAAAGATATTAAATAAGGCTAAGACTTTATTACCTCAATCAAATTAGAAATTAGACATCACAAAGCCTTTAGAATTTGGGATAGCAGTTAATGAAGGATTCAATTAAATTGTGCTCATAATAAGCACACACATATTCCATGCACAGGGATGTGGAATATGTAGCCTTTTGTTCTTATTTCCACTCACTGCTACAATCCAAAAAAAGATACAGAAATAAAATAGAATTAGACAAAATAATAATGATTACCTATAATTGTTATTAGCCTTAGTAGCAATGAAATAATTAGCAACTACAATCCAAGCTTATCATCTAAATTTGTTTTATAGATTTGATATATTTTATTTTCTATAAGCTGTTGAGACACCATTTTCACGACAGGAAATATTTATCACAGATATATTAGATGCATAATACTATTATACTCTCCTTTGTGAGACATAAATTAAGGGACTTGCAAAGTCATGAAACACAGCAGACAAAAAACTGAGATTAAAAATTTAATTTCCTTCAAATTTCCTAATTTAGGTTATCTTTACAAATATTATTGTTGATATAATTGAGATACTAAAAGTATTTTCATTTAAAATATTATTATAATCAGAGAATGTTGGAGTATAAATTACCACTGTACTTTACATGTACTGTGTCAAGTTTATTTCATTCCTTGAATTCTTCAGCATATCTTTATGTAATGCATTCACCAAGGACTTCCTGAGTTAGCACTACGGAATCCAATCTGTGCTAGACACTAGGAGGAAGAATTCAATAGGGAACAGTGGAAAATAAAGCTGGATACATAGTAAATGTAAACTCATTTGCTGAAGTTCTCAAGTGTTAAGGAGGAGAAGCTTTATCCTAGAATATAAGGTAACAGTGGTGAATTTAATGAAAATAAAATTGGAATTAGAAATTTGAATCTGGGATAACATTTTGAACTTTAGTGATGGGGAGAACTACGGTACCATTACAATAACAGCGAAGTTGAGAAGAGCCCTGCTTTAGGGAAATCCGATGAGGTGGTTCTTCCTTACTTCGTGGGTATCTCCCTGAATGTATTCTTCACTAGGTAAAACAATGATTTGTTTATAAGTTGGCCTCCAACCACAGTCTGTGAAGTTTTAAGTACAAGAAATGTCTCATCATCTTTGCACTTTCCAGAATACAACTTGGCTCCTGGCATACACTAGATAACTCAGTAAATGTTTGTCACGTGTATGAGCATAAATACAGGATGAAATGTCTTCTGAGACATGGAGAGTGGAGAAAGATTTCAGAGTCATTTTACACAGAGCTGTAATAGTGCTTAACTGTGAGTCGAGCCACTATGTGGCACACGGAAGAAGTTGATTAAATATTTCTTACAGGAATTAATGTATGTATGAATAAATGAATGAATGAATGAGACAATCAGTTCACTACAGGAATAAATATATTAAGAAAAAATGGGCAAAGTGCAAACTTTGGAAAGTACTAAAAAGTAATGAGCTAGAGGAAGAAAAGCAGTCAGTGATAGGCTTCATGATAGGCTTGGATATGCAATAGTTAAAAGAAAAAGCAAGAAAATGAAGTGTCATAAACAATAATAACATGTTGCAGCTTCATTTCCAAAGCACTTTCACATTATTTCATTTAATACTGACAACAGTCCTGAGAGACAGGGATAGACGGTATTATTATCCTTGTTTTTTTACAGAGGAAGCAGCTGAGGCTCAGAAAGGTTAAGTGACTTGGAGGAGAGCATTTCAAACAGAAATATTTAACATTGTCAAATGCAGAAAATAGAATAGGGACTGAAAAGATGTCACTGAGCTTGGCACAGGCAGCTCGTTGAAGCCTGTGCAAAGTGAGGTTGGGAAGAAGGGGAAAAAGAGGTGGAAAAGGAGGCTGACATTTTAAGACAGAGGTTTAATATATTATAGATAAATGTATTAAATCATATAGTCTCACATATGTGATGATCACAAAGGTATCACCCATAAATCGCATTGAAAAGTATCAGGATGGGATAAGACTTAGGGTAGATGAGGGAGAACAGGCACATCTTCTCTCTTACCCAAGTGGACAACTTGCTTCCTGGAAACTGATTTTTGCCATTCCTTAAATACGTGTGTGCACATGAAAGTTTTCTGATTTGGAATTATTACTTTAAGATTTTAAATACTGTTTGGGTAAGACCTTCTTGGTCAACTTCTAACAAATACTGATTCCCTCTACCTCTTTCTTTAACGTTTTCCATTCAAAGACTAGAACTTGAAAACACCAATGCGTAAAGATACATGCACCCCTGTGTTCACTGCAGCGTTATTCACAATAGCCAAGACTTGGAAGCAACCTAAGTGCCCATCAAAGGACGAATGGATAAAGAAGATGTGGTATATATAAACAATGGAGTACTACTCAGCCATAAGAAACGATGAAATCCAGCCATTTGTGACAACATGGATGGACATTGAGGGTATTATGCAAAGTGAAATAAGTCAGAGGGAGAAAGTCAAATACCATATGATTTCCTTCATTAAGTAGTAGATAATAACAACAATAAACAAACACATAGAGACAGAGATTGGATTGGTGGTTACCAGAGGGGAAGGGGGGAGGGAGGAGGGCAAAAGGGATAATTCGGCACATGTGTGTGGCAATGGGTTGTAATTAGTATTTGGGTGGTGAACATGATGTAATCTATGCAGAAATAGAAGTATAATGATGTACACCTGAAATTTATACAATGTTATGAACCAGTGTTACTGCAATAAACAAAAAATAAAAAAAAAAAAATTTAGATGGTGGTAGAGGCATGAATGCTGTTTAACACTCCTGCTCTTCGAAGCTCCCCTCTCACTTGGAAAGTAGCTTCTTATTAATGTAAACATTAAAGGGCCCTGGTAAAGCAGGTAATTCTACCTAAAGATAAATTTTTCCAGGCAGTTATTTCAAGTCAGGAGGAGAGGGAAAAAAAAGTGAAGTACCATTTGTCCTTCACTTCTCTAAATGTATATGGGGCGGTGCATGGGAAGCACTGGACGAAACATACACAAGTTAATTCTGGAATAAAATACATAAATTCTGGAATGACTTTCTCAAGTAAACATGAATAAATCAAATTTTCTTCTACTTTATTTTTTAAGTACTAAGTTAAATATTTTACTCCGCACACACAGACACTAGCATAAGCTTAGCAAAATCACATCTGAGATTGCAAAAGCTGTTTTCTATGATCTTCTGAGTCACATCTACTTAGGTTTGTTTAGGAAAAGATACATTTTTCTTAATATTAGAGTTGTCAGTTGTGGAACATAACTTTAGATGGTAAGCTAAATTATTTTTTGATTGGCGAATCATCAACAGAATTGCTAGCTAAATGTGATTCAGCTTTTTACTCAGTTTTTGATAATGTACAGAGTAATAAGAACAGTGTGATTTTTTTAGATAATAGAATGCAATTTACACATTGTTTTTTTTTTTCTTCCTGAATCCAGTTAATGAATAAGCAAACCACACTGTGACTATGTCTAAACATCACACAAACATCTAGATGAAAAGTGACAAATTCAGGCTATCAACAAGCTATTTGAAAACATTTATCTTGATGACATTAAACATCTGGATGTTTCCAAATACCAAGATGTTTGATGTCCTGCAGATAAAATATCCTGATGACTGGTTGAATTTTTTACTTATCTGTTGCATAAAAATGTACATTTGCATTCATATGTCTCTTCCTGTTTCAGACACAAAATGTAATTTTAGCATGGATGTAGTAGGAAGTCATAGACAGGAATCATCAGGCTCAGATATTTTTTGTTGTTGTTATTGCTGTTCTTAATGAATCTCTGACCTAGAGAAACGTTTTTCTTTTATTTTACTTTCAGTAAATAAAGGAGTTAATTGTCATTTCAACAATGTATATTAAAAAGGTAAAGGATTTGCAAAATGAAGTTACCTAGATACCTTAGCTTTCATCCACAAGGACCCACAAAAACAGTGTTAGTGGGGAAAATATAACACAAAATAGTCTTAATCGATTGGCCTACTATTCAGTTGGAATGCTATATAAAACATTTTCTTTTCTCATTATCTTCTTTTTAGAGTATTTTGTTCTTCCATAGCATGTTCATTTATGCCATCCAGATGAAATGACAAGAGTTCAAACTTCCCAATTTGATAATTTTGATGTTTCTAGTGATGGTTTGGCATGAGGATGGTACTAAACATGAATTCTATCTTTGCCTATCCATTAGATCCTAATTTGTCTGAATCATTAAAGACTGGCTGTTACAACTTCTCTGTCACATTTTCTTACTCTAGGTCTAATTGAAGAAAAAGTCATGCTTACAGAGGAAACAAGGCAAACATTATTACAAAATGGAAAATGTATTTTGATTATCAGCTTAAAAGAAAGATTAATATTCTTTTCCATTCCCACCACTTTAAAAATAATTTTATATATATGCATTAAATACCATTCCTAAGCCTTTGAAATCAAGATTGCTTGCATTCCATACTAGAAGAAGGAAATGAATGTTAAAGTGAAAAATAATTCCCTGAAAGCTGTTAACTTTTATGGCACTAAAATAACAGACAATTACATAACACACTTCAGCTCCCGAAGGTTCTACCTTTAGGATCACTCAGAACTGAACCAAAGGCACTGATGACCACGTCGGCTTTCAGCTGGACTATCTGATCTTCATCTTCACTCCAGTTTCCAGCTTCATCTTGCTCTGTCCGAACAAATTTCATAGCAACAATTCTCCCACCTCTTACTACAACCTTCCGTGGGGACAGGAAAGGCAAAAATTCACACTTTTCTTCCTTAGCAAGCTCCATCTAAAACAAAACAGAACAGAGAAAAAACTTGAAAATGTTTCTTCTCCATTTACTATTTGATTTTTAATTCAATTACACATGCTAAAGCTTATGATGTTTAAATCAAGATGAAGATTTTTCTTTCACCAAAGCTGAAATTCAGTTATCAGCTATTTACATTTTGTAAATCTCTCACTCAGGGGAGTCTTGAATTGGAGTTGTCATGTGGAAATTTATAGATCACGGCATGACGAGATATTTCTCAAGTTTTAGCTAATGCATGCCCTACGGTTGGTGGTGTGTGAGATTTCTGACGACAGTAGCCTGGACTCCTTATGTTTTCATTTCTGTAGGTTAAGTTCTCTTTTCAATTATGCCACATATGAAAATAAATACTTCAGATTATTACCAGGCTGCATATAGCTAAGCTGGAAAAAAGTCAATAAAGTAGGTGAGCCAATATGTGCAAGCACATGGTTAGAATGGTAGGTAGGAGAAAAGACTAGAGAAACTCTATGGAACTAAGAAATAAATTTAACATTTATTCTTAATTTTGTAAAAATACAAATGAAAATTTTAAGAAAAAGAAACAAGCATGCTCCTGTTAAAAAATTCCCAGTTCTTCCATATCTCTTACATAATCCATTCTGCCATAAAATGGGACACCCTAGTTTTTGTTTTCATGCCCATAGTGGAATGCCTATCCAGACAGAATGTTAGTACTTATTTGCTTATTTTTCCACTTACTGTCTTTGGGGGAATCCAGGCCTTCGTCAATGTAAACCTAACTAGTATGTTGACTAGTCTTTTTTTAAAAATGTAAAAACATCCTATTGAAGAGGTTGAAGGGGTGCTGAGCCTCATTCTTTCCCTCCTCGGGGGAAGATAGGGGGATTCTTAGTAGGACCTCTGACAAGAGAGGTTGAGAAGGTTGTGTGTGTAAGGCTTCAAACTAGAAATTATCTGCACTACGTCAAGACGGAAAAACTGAGATAAAGTAACTTGCTCAGTCAATGTCACGATGAAGCCATGGACCTATCTCTCAGCACTCTATCCGTAACTAGTGGTTCTAAACTTGGGTGTGTACAGGAATCACCTGGAGGCCTTGTTAAAACAGACTGCAAGGGGCCACTCCCAGTTTCTAATTCTGTCAGATTGGGTGAGGGCTGAGGATTTGCACTTCTAACAAATTCTTAGGTGATGCTATGCTGCTGGTCCAGAAGTGACATTTTGTGAACCACTGTCTTACTAGACCATAGCTGACTGGCTCTGAACTTAGTGGATCTGTACCATACATTCTCAATGAGAGTAATACCACCCACAAAGGAGCAAAAATTGACTCTCGGGGAAGGAAAAATTCTTAGATATCAAAATACTTTATGACACTCCTCCCCAAAAGAGCCACAGTATATAAACAGATATCCAGTATATCTGTACTATTAAGATTACAGTGGGAGGGTAGTGACTAGGAGAAAAAAGTCTAAAAAGACTCCCTTGTTAGTGCTGTTCACTTGATTCTGACTCCTAGGGCCCCTGTGCACAGCAGAGCCGAGCCCTGCCCGGTCTTTTTGCACCATCCTCTCACCTTCTGGCGCTCTATCAGACAAAGCTCCACTGCTATTTACAGTGTTTTCATGGCCAATTTTTTCAGAAGTGGGTGGCCAGTTCCTTCTTCCTAGTCTGTCTTAGTCCGGAAGTTCCCCTGAAACATGTCCACCATGGGTGACCCTGCTGGTATTTGAAATACTGGTGGTATAGCTTTCAGCATCACAGCAAAACCCAGCCGCCACAGTATGACAACCAACAGACAGATGGTGTTGTTCCCTAACTGGGAAATGGATCTGGGCTGGGGCAGTGACAGCACCAAACCTTAACCTCTACACCACGAAGGCTGCAGCAAAAAGACTCCCCAGAGAGATGAAAATGAAAAAAAAACTATTGAGAAACACTGGTCATTACTATACATTGGCACGAAGCTATTCAGTCTATATTTTACTTAAGATATTTTTTGAATATTGGCCTTAAAGGCTTAAAAATTGGACCACATAAACTATTATTACACAGTATTTCCCTTTTCATTATAAAACTTAGAGATTAGCGATATCAAAAATAATAGATATGTGGGATATTGTGGGTGGTAAAATACAAAACAGTGGATCTAAAACTGCTTACTGTTTAGACAGGGAAATTAGAGGTAAGTGGAATTGAATCAGGTTTGAAATCTGCTTCTACTGCTTATTTGGGGTAGTCACTAATCTCTTTGGTCTTCAGGTTCCTTATACGTAAAATGGGGATAACAATATCTAATTAATTGGTATGGGGTATTATTTAAGGCAATTCAGGAAATGTAAAGTACCTAAAAGGTAATTTAACATATAGAAGGTGCAAACAAATGTTATTTATATGTAGTTGCAATTCTCTGAATTCACTTTTTCCCTCAACCATTCTCCAAACCATTCAATACTACTTAGCAATAGGATTACGATTCCAAGAGAAAGGTGGCCCAAATGCAAAGGTAAAGAAAGGAAAGGCCAAAGATGAACCTTAGATGCCTCCTTAATTTTCTACAAAATAAAAATGTATGATTTCTGGAAGGCAAACTATTCCTTGAATAATTCAGATTACAAAATAAATACGGCTCTAGTATGTAAGATATGTTTTCTGTATCACTTTGTTACATTTGTGTAACATAGTACCTTATAATTCATCAATATAAACCAATTTATTGTGTTTCAAAAATGTCAAGTGATGCTAAATTTTAATGATAATGCCAAACTTGATTGAATGACAATGCCAAATGTTTATGGTTTGAATAAATCAATACACGATGCATATTTATAACACTACTCTTTTCTGTGGAGGGCAGAAATAAAATCCTGAACTATGCTGCACATATTAGGAGCATGTCTCAGACTGATTTAGAGTCTGTCTTGTCCCATTCTACTTTTCCTGTCTATTAATACTCAGATAGTATCTATTATTATATGTAGATAATCTCATATACTTTTTGGCAAATTTGGCATTGAATTTAGAAACAAAAATTGGACACTACAAACAAACAAAAATTTTTAAGAATTTAAAATAAAGATTACCAATGATTTAATGTCTGAACATGCTTTAGTAATATTCTTACATAGTTTCGACTTTTGAGGGACAAAAAACTGTGTATAATTATGAACATGAAGAAACTGTATTTTAATATATCCTCAGCTCACATCATAATTCTCCATATGCACCAGGATTGATTACTTGTATTCAAATATTTTGTATTCATATCAACTATCTGACAGTGCACAGAAGTCGGGGGTATAAACATTGGCCCCCAGAGAGATTACTCTGAAATTCTGCTTTTGAAACTTGAAATGTTCTTTACTCTCTAAAACATGTAAGATTAGACTGTTGGGCAGCAGACACAAATCACACCACTTCTTGCTATTTTGCTATTAAGTATCTACATTTTCCATTTTACATGAGAGGGCAAAACTTTTAAAGGAAAGATAGAAAGGTATCACTTGAACATATGTATTTTTGTGGAAAGAATTGATATATTGGGAACAGAAAAACTGAGATGATAAGATCTATCTTAGTCAACAAGGAAACAATAGGAAAATGAGAATTCAAGGATATCTCAAGGTATAAAGGTAGAAAATTAAAATAGAATTGAAATAAATTTATTTGTTAGACAGTAAACTCCTTCACAAAACTCTTTTAAGTACAGAAATAATATCTTATTTAACTTTCTATCCCCAATGTCTAGGAATGATATTCAAATATTTAACAATTGATGAGTTCAAGCAAATGAACATTCAGACAGATGCCTGGCAAATCAGAATATACTCCAGTCAATATGCCACATGGAGGGAAATTAAGTGAATTTCAGCACTACTGGTGTCTATCAAAATGACTAGCACACAGTAGATATTGAGTAACATTTTGTTTACCAAAATGAATAACTAATATGAAAACCAAGAGGACATTCAAGTTAATGAAAGGACAACCAACTAGTAGTATGTGGAATCAAATGGCTACTAAATGCCCATCTCAAAGCAAGTAACAATGGGCATGCAGAAGACATGCTACCTGACCAGATCATCCAATGTTGTAAGCCTGAAACCAAAAAGCAAATGGTGTTCCTCCTCCAGTTGTCAGTTACACTGCCATGAGAAAATGATGGACCAGTAGTCTAACCTCATGCAGTCGGTCTTAATATTTTATTGCTCAAATTAATCAGCCTTCTGTGCTAAGTAGTTCACAGGTGTCAGTGTTAGTGCTTTTTAATATCTATTGTTTGTTAGTGATCATTAATAACCAGCAACTCAGTGAGTTTGGTATATGAACACTTCTGTTCACAACACACATATTTATTTATTTGTTTGATGGTGCCTGTTCTCATGAGGGACAACTGGTACATCAGGAAAACATACAAATTTCTCCTGCCCTTATCTTCACCAATAATTACTCAAGGGAATAAAGGATAAAGCATCTCAACCGCTCCATTTTTGAGGTTCAATAAATCAAATTGTTACTTTCTTTTCACATAGTATGAGGAAAGTGAAAAAAACATTCTTCTTAGCTTTGATTTTTACTTCCATATTCAGGGAAGATACGTGGTTGATGCTGAGTGAAATAAAAATAGAGTGCTATAGCATGCAATAATGATCATCATTTTAATGATTAACTTTATGTAATGTGATGATTTGGTCTGATTAATATTACAGGCATCATACTGTGGAAATTATGAAACAACTTAATTTACTATAATTAAAAGCATGATGCCAACTCATTTTTAGATTGCATATAGGCAAAGTAAGCATAGGTTATAAACTATAATGAGCAGAACTCAGAACTAGCATACACTAAATTCTAATATGCCAAAGTTTGAGAAACAATATTCTTTGTAAAGATTATCTTTGAATAGCTGGACATTTAACAAGTTATCAATTCTGTATGAACATGAGGATCTCGAAAATGCTATTTCAAACCAAAATCGTTTGGTAGTCTGCTTTGGCTAGTGATAATCC